TGAGAGTATTGATAAGACCGATGCGAGGTCGAAACTGCAGTCCACCCGGATGAGAACAACTTTTGGTAAAGCAAGGCTATGTGAAAATGAAATGGAAACGTCAGTTCAGCTCATATCATTGTGGGAATATTCTTCTACCAGTCCTTCATCACCTTAAACGAAATTGTGTAAATACATCTTATATTACTGATTTACTGGTAGTCACGAAAACAATACTTAATTCGAAAAATAAGAAATCATAGACTTGACACTATGACTAGAAGCATGATAGATGCGGCGGATCCTTTAAGGCAAGAGGGAGACTTTGACAAGACCTGTGGGTAGAGGATTGCTAGGTGAGGGAGTGAGAAAGCCAGCGTTGGGTTTGGAGAGCTCTCATGAAATTCGCTAAAAAGGAGACACTATGCCATATTTAAATAAGGAATTGTGATAATCAAGGGGTGATAGGAGGATATAGGATTGGTTATTAGACAAAGGCGGAAGAAAAGATACCGCAACTGTTTAGCAGAGAATTAGTCAAAGGATTAGCTTTACTTGCCTCTTTGATGAGTTGTAGCGTGGTGCTAAGAGTGGCAATGCTCATTGGCGATGCCAGCAAAACGTCTGGGAACGTCCACGGTCCGACTTGAAATTATCATGCATACAATGGACTCTGGAATAGGTGCTTTCCTATAGGTATTCCTACCAATATGATAAAGTTGCAAAAACAAGGTCAATCAACTTATATACAATGAAAGTAGACTGCAACTACACAAAAGGTCACACCATCTTGGTCTTCATACTTTCGATCAATCGTCTTCTAAGTTCACGATAATTTAATTGTATCATTTCTATGATTTTTTAATCTAATAAATTTACCGGTGCCTACATTAACAAGGTGAATAAAAGAAAATTGTTCCCATATGCTTTTCCAAGTGCTAATCTATGTTTAAGACTCATATTTCCAAATCTATAATCTCAATGATGTGATAGAATAAAGATTTCTTATATCCATACCTATAAAAATAAATTAGACTGCGATAACTAAGAGTATTATGCAAGCCCCAGGCCAAAAGCCAATATTTTGACGGTTTATCGATTAAGAGCAATGGAATTTCTTATATTGATGCGAGTTTGCATAAGTCAGTGTTATTTTTATGTATTATAAGATCATAGTAGCCCGAAAACGAGTTTCATATTAAATAGAGGTATGAATGCATGCATAGAAACTGATCAACATAGATAAAGCTACCTTTTTAAAAATTTAGTTCTGTGTCAAAAATAACGAAAATTCAAAAATTACAGGAGATAGGATCGGGGGATGAAAACAGGAAAGTATTAGAGTAATGTGATTACTAGTGCGTCAAGATTAACTAACTATTTACACATAATGAATAATCTATATCCATAGTTAACTATGAAATCTAAAATGGATAGTAGGACAAGTATAATTACTTTTCAGATGCGATCACTAAAGTGGCAGGAATTCGAGTCGAAACCAATTCGCGACTTAGTCCATGCTCCTGCTGCTCCCCTTCTATGGGATTATCCGTCACCCTAAGTATATTAGTGATAGGCATTCCACTTTCCTGGGCTATGACTAGCGCTGCGATCTGGTGACGAAGACGAGCCAGCTCAGCTTCCAGTTCAGCCAAACGAGAAGGAGAGCCATGTATTCGCTTATTATGGTGATGATGATCACGACGCCGCTGTTGCGCAGTAGTAGAGTCCTTTAATAAGCTTTTTGACCAGTTATGAGGTGGCGACGACTGTAGATCTGATAGACCTAAGGAGGAAGCGGAGGAACAGTCACCCTCAACTGATCGGTTGGCATTGATGGGTGAAATAGGATCAAAAGTTTCAGCAGCCTGGCTGCAGTGTAAATTGAATCTAGTTGACCGTATAAGATGTGATGTTGGTGCATTGTCTGAAAAGACGATAGAGGAATCATAGAGACAACTAGAATTAGCAATGAAGATAACGGAAGCTAAAGAGAAAAATGTGAACTATATCCGAATACTAAAAATGGATAAACCAAGTTCCATAGTTAGTTGGACTTGTAAATAGACAAGCTAAGGTACCGATTAGTTCTACAATCGCCTTGTAAAACAAGTTTTAAAAATGATGGTAAAAAAAGTGCATCGTTGTGAAATGGTCTTGATGATACTTAACTTTGATCTGAATAATCCATACTATTCTTTCGTTCATTTTATGATCTGAGTATCAGTATAAATTTAAAATAAATAAAGACATTTCGGTATCAAGACGTGGAATTGGTATTCCTTTAACAATGATTCATGTTTTATCAAATGACTAACCCAGGGCCAAAAATCATCTCAATTCCAATCTGAGTCAAAATAAATTACGTCAAACTTGATCATTTGAATAGATTTAATTAAAGAACGCCATGAAGCTGAATGTCACAATAATCAGTTTATATTATTTAGAAAAAGCAGATTTATATGCAATAAAGCATAGAAGGTACAAAAATCGCTTAGATGTACATATACATGGAGTTACTAGGCAAAATAGCTCAATAAGTACGAATAATTTTCAGATTACTTACTTTTCTTACTAGCGTTTGAAAGAGTATTTTTGCTAATTTTGCGCGAGTTCATTAAAGCTTCACAACTAGTCTCTTGGAAAGCAGACAGGCCACGACCAGACTCCTTTTTAGATCCACCACCACACAGACTGAATTTGGCTTCACCACTCTCCAGTGTAGACATCTTTAGCCAATCTTCGCAAAATTTCAATTTAGAATATCTAAGTCGTTGTGATTTCAGCGCAGGCTCGGAACATTCTTTAAGCCTCCCAACATAGCGGACATTAACCTTGCCAGATGGATAGTACGTTTTTTTAATCTTTTTGGATGAACCTGTAGAAATGTTATCGCTAAGGATAGATGAACAGGGGCTGCCAGTCTCTAGGCCATATTTAAAGACTCTAGGATGGATTTTGTCTGAAGTCCTATACGTTCTTGAGGGCAATTTTTTCGGAGGCAAAAGCCTAGGGGAATTTTTAATAAAATAATTGTGAGCTGCACTCCCAGTGCTCGGTAAGGAACGATCGCACCGTGAGTGTTGAAGTTCTGATAGATGTTGCCCAAGATAGTCCTCATCTTCATAGTCGAATATGTTGCCTGATTCTTGCAATTCGGAACACTCAGAAGTATAAATCTATAGAAAAAAGTATATTTGGGCGACCACCAAGGGTAGCAGAGGATTTAAGGTGAATTGATCGTACATAAAAAATTACGAATAAGATAAAATTAAAAAAAACTCACGACATCGGTTTCGGATTGAGAAGTTTGGGAGATATTCCCAGAAGTAATTGTAGCTAAAGGGGACAGACTATTCTTTACGAAAATGCCGCGGAGAAAAGATCTTATCAAATAATATGAAGTTGTAAAGTTAATCTAAGTCAAATAAAACAAGTAAAAAGACTCACAAGCGAACCATCTACGTAAAGATACAGAAGGCGACAAGAAGTAATCAAAATAACTGAGAAAAACCTGGATGCGCTCATAGTAAAGATAAGCCGAGCTCGCCTACAAC